TTAGGATTTTGATGGACTCCTGTCTCACATTGAGGTCTTTCAACCATTTGGAGTCTATTTTTGTGTGTGGTGTAAGGAAATGGTCCAGTTTCATTCTTCTGCATGTGGCTGTCCAATTTTCCCAACACCATTTGTTGAAGAGACTGTCTTTTTTCCATTGGACATTCTTTCCTGCTTTGTCAAAGATGAGTTGACCATAGAGTTGAGGGTCCATTTCTGGGCTCTCTATTCTGTTCCATTGATCTATGTGTCTGTTTTTGTGCCAGTACCATGCTGTCTTGATGATGACAGCTTTGTAATAGAGCTGGAAGTCCAGAATTGTGATGCCGCTGGCTTTGCTTTTCTTTTTCAATATTCCTCTGGCTATGCGGGGTCTTTTCTGGTTCCATACAAATTTTAGGATTATTTGTTCCATTTCTTTGAAAAAAGTGGATGGTATTTTGATGGGGATTGCATTGAATGTGTAGATTGCTCTAGGTAGCATTGAGATCTTCACAATATTTGTTCTTCCAATCCATGAGCATGGAACGTTTTTCCATTTCTTTGTGTCTTCCTCAATTTCTTTCATGAGTATTTTATAGTTTTCTGAGTACAGATCCTTTGTCTCTTTGGTTAGATTTATTCCTAGGTATCTTATGGTTTTGGGTGCAATTGTAAGTGGGATTGACTCCTTAATTTCTCTTTCTTCTGTCTTGGTGGTGACTCAGAACATCTTTTATTAAGAGTGTCTACATGTCCAGCCCTGTGCACCATCCTGGAATTTCCCACTGTAGTCAGGAGATGGATGTGTAAGCAGTAGGCAAGACCCAGGATGGATGTAGGCACAGGAACTGTGGGAGTCATGGGTGAACCCAAGTCCAGGCAATCAGTGAAGGCTCTGAACGGAGGAAGGGGGTGAAGAACAGTCTGGATTGAGGAAGTAGCACACGTGAAGGCCCAGAGCTAAGAGACTGTTATTCTGGGAAATGGCAATCAGAGTGGCCTGAGTGGGCAGTGTGCAACCATCAGAGAATGAACAGGACTGGAGGAGGCAGGGCCCAGTTGCCAAGGGCCTTGCCTGATGTGTTAGGAAGTTGGGGTTTCTATCCTTGTGGGGTATTGGGTAGCCACAGAAGGATTTTCTAAAAGTGGTAGGGCACAGTCACATTCGTTTTTTTTTTTAAATCAACACTCTAGCGGGCGCCTGGGTGGCTCAGTTGGTTAAGCAACTGCCTTCGGCTCAGGTCATGATCCCAGGGTCCTGGGATCGAGTCCCACATCGGGCTCCCGACTCAGCAGGAAGCCTGCTTCTCCCTCTCCCACTCCCCCTGCTTGTGTTCCTGCTCTCGCTGTCTCTGTCTCTGTCAAATAAATAAATAAAATCTTAAAAAAAAAAATCAACACTCTAGCAACATTACTAGAAAAAGTGGCAATTTGTCACAAATTGCTTAAATAAGCAAACACAGTCTTGAATTGAAAAGTTACTTGAAAAATTTCAGGGACACCTTATGAAGCTGGAGCAATTGACTAGTATACTAAAGAAGCTTAAATTGCATTAATACATGATGGTGTAAATTTCTCATATTTTAATAGACCCAAGAGTATGAGTTTTTGACAACAGGACTTCTGCCTGACTTGTTGCCTATCATATCCTTATCACGCACAACAGAATTTAGCATATATATCAGTAAATGCTTTTAACCAAGACTCTGAAATGTCTGAAAAGACTGACTTCTTTCAAGATTGTTCAATGAAAATAACTCCCTGATATTAAAAAAAAAAAAAGGCAACAATGCAACTACATTAACCCCCACGTGTTAAGGATATGTTATCCAAATTTATGAAACTAGGTGGGATTACTTAGAAACTATTGTAGATCCAGTTATAGGAAAAATCACATCTGAACAAAACATTTTTATCATGTGGTCTTTTTCTGTTTAGAGAAAAAAAGATTTTTCTCATCATCACATCCTCAGCCACAGCACAGTACATGAGACATGGAGGGACTCAAAATATAATAGATGAATGAACGGGTGGATAAGTATAGAGAATGTCTCCTTAAGGCACACACATTCACTAAATCCCTAATTAAAAAAAAAAAAAAATCTGCACCTGTCTTTATCTGCTGGAATCTTCAAGAAGAAAGGATCACACAGAAGTTAAGGGGTGTCATTGAGCCAGGAGGGACACTAGGGATCTTTTAGCAGTTTGATCAAGTCACTAATGGCCAAGAGTTCTGTCTGCGTATTAAGGGCAGAACTGAGAAGGACCCAGATCTCTGGATTCTAGACATTTTTCCCTGTCCCATTTTGCAACTCTTAATTTATTTAAAGTAGAAATATTTATAAAAATATTGTTTAATCCTGTGAAACTCACTTTTTTTTTTTTTTTTGTATAGCTCAAACCTGTGTCTCTCCACTACAGAGTTACTACGGAGCTTTATATCTCCTGTAGGAGAAGAATTTGGAATATAGATGTGGAATTCATAAATGAAGGTGCTTTTGTTCCTCAAGTAAACCTTGTACGTTTTTCTGTATGCCAGTTATTTCTACAAGTATAAGTTGTTTGGCTAAAGTCTTCAACAACCAATGAAGTTAATGTTGTACACAAGACCTTGGGGATTTCACGTTCACCGGGGCCAATAAAAGCAAATTCTCTCATGCCCTCCTACCAAGAACTTCATTATGACATTCTGCCAGTTGCCTTCTCAGATCTGCACGTGATTCTACTTTCTGGATTTCAGGACAGGCAGAGTTTGTCTTTGAAGCCCCATTTACTCTGTCCTCCCTCACTGGTTCTCTTTTCTTCCCTTAGTCACCCTGACCTCATAAAAAAAAAACCAAACATGCTGGCAGGGGCGCCTGGGTGGCTCAGTTGGTTAAGCAACCAACTCTTGATTTCCACTCAGGTTGTGATCTCTGCATCGTGAGGTCGAGCCCCACATGAGGCTCCTCACTGGACATGGAGTCTGCTTCGGAGTCTCTCTTCCTCTCCCTCTGCCCCTCACCCCACACATGTGTGGGCACTATCTCTCTCTCAAAAAAAAAAAAAAATGCTGGCAGATCTCTCATACCCACTAAAGCTTAAATGCCTGAAATCATTCTCCCCACCCCACCCCATTGGTGAGAAAAACTAGAAGGGAGGAATAACAGTTGCCGGGTCCCTAGTTCTGCATCTCTGGAGGCAGAGCCTAGCAGATAATTCTAGGACTGCCCCTGAGGGCATTAGGGTTGCCTTTGGGTCCTCTCTGGTGGAGAGGGAAGGGAAGCCCTGCTTTTCTCTTCTTAGTCCCAGTCTTTGGAAGGGCAATTATATCTCCTGCCTTGGGGGTTCAGCCAGAAGGTCCAGATGGCCTTGTCGAGCTTCTTAACCGGAATAATAGGAGGCTGGAAGCCCAAACAGGCTGCAGCCTATCTTCTCAATGAGGTGTTGGGGAAAGATGAACCTCTGATGGAAACATGACAGGAGCTGTGTGAACTTCCAGCTGCCCCTTGCTTGTCTTACTTCAAGTACCAGGTTTTGAGTTTATCTTTCTCTAGCATCAAAGCTGATGCTACTAAAAAACAAGACTGGACAAATTCTCTTGACACAACTGAGTGACAAACTCTACCGACTTACCTCCAGTCTTTTCTAGCTGTCGCAGTGAAAGTGTGAACTCAGAAACTGAGACTCTTTTGGACCACCCTGGATGTTGAAAATGCTATTATAGGTGCAGGGCCTTGGGGCTTTCCAAAACCCTTAACTAATCTGTGTGTAGCATGGATTTCTTGTTCTCCTGGCCCACTCTCTTTCCAGTCAGAAAACTGAAACTTTTGCACAAATTAAGGAGATATATATCCTGGTGCGGTAGGAAGAAGCTGGAAATGTTTCCACCCGCGACATTCATAAGACCCCCTTCTTCCTTCTCCATGGCTTCCCTGGGTTGAGTCTCTCGGTTTATCATAAAGATGTTGCTTCTGCCTAGAAAAGTGCAAATTGCCCCTGGGTAATTAATTCGGGATCTTCGTTGTTTCCCATTTCATCGCCTCTGAAGGCCAACCCAACACTGTTTTCTTATTTCCTCAGTGTGGTGAGTCTGTGGGCTTGTTTTGACTCAGCCTCCTGGATAGCATATGGTACCTGCCAAGTGCACACCCAGTCTATGACTGCATACCCTCAACCACCCACCAGCCATGGCCGTGTCCAGTTGTTGCTGAGTGGTCCCTCCACTTTGACCTCAGTTTCACCCACCCTTGCCCATTGCTCACCCTGTGCTCTCTCTCCTTCTCTTCCCAAATTCACAGCAAAACCCTTATTGGGGAATCTTGTTGTTACCCAATAAAGAGAGAAGTGCTACTTGTCATAGTGTAAACACAATCTCGAAAGAAAAGACTGTGTAGTACATTAGTGACTACATTATGTTCTGCAAAAAACATATAGTCGAATTATCAGGCAAAATACTTTCTTTTTTTAAAGATTTATTTATGGGGGTGCCTGGGTGGCTCAGTCATTAAGCTTCTGCCCTTGGCTCAGATCATGATCCCAGAGTCCTGGGATCGAGACCCGCATCGGGTCCCTGCTCGGCGGGAAGCTTGCTTCTCCCTCTCCCACTCCCCCTGCTTGTGTTCCCTCTCTCGCTGTGTCTCTCTCTGTCAAATAAATAAATAAAATCTTTAAAAAAAATTAAAGATTTATTTATGTATTTGAGAGAGAGAGAAATGAGTAGGGAAGGGGCAGAGGGAGAAGAAGAGTAGATCCTCAAGCAGACTCCCCACTGAGTGCAGAGCCCCAAGGACTATGAGGAAGGGCTCCAGCCCAGGACCCTGAGATCATGACCTTAGCCAAAATCGGTTGCTTAACTGACTGAGGCACCCAGGTGCCCCTAGGCAAACTATTTCAATGTGTCCTTTGGTATAATTTGACTTATATAGGAAAGACTTAAGAAATATTTTCAAATACTTCAGCTTTCATGGATCTCAGCATTGCTTAAACATTTTCAAACATGAAAACACATTAAAATTCTTTTTTACAAAATGTGTTCAATAGGCTGGACCTCTACAGGCAAAGAAAAGTGTCATGAAATAATTATCTGGGTAAATCAGGAAGAAATCATTTTAGTTTGAATTTATACTGTCATACATTTTCTGTGTTCATGGCATTATGGCACAGCCCAAATTTCCCTGTATATAAGGATTTTTTAATCTTTTTTTTTTAAGATTTCATTTATTTATTTGAGAGTGAGAAAGCACAAGCAGTGGGAGCTACAGAGGGAGAGGGAGAAGCAGGCTTCCCGCAAGCAGGGAGCCTGATGCAGGACTCCATCCCAGGATCCCAGGATCATGACCTGAGCTGAAGGCAGATGCTCAAACGACTGAGCCACCCAGGTGCCCCGGAATTTTTAATCTTGCTTTTTATTTTATCAAACATTCAAACATTTAGAAATTTGAATTACCTCTGGCCTTATTTCTGACTTATTTATGACTGTTTACATATATAAAGCATCTGGCAAATAGTAGATACTAATAAATGGTAAATTTACCAGGCAATTTTCTAATAAATAATTATTATTATTTGATTTCCAGCAGGCGACTTTATCCAACTAGAAAAACAGTAAGTGTCCAAGATTCAGAGCATTGTAAAGAAACCACTTTGCAAACTCCAAATGTATCATGGAGATTTTTTGTTGTTGGAAAATGTTGAGTGAGAAGAGAATTTTTCATCAGATTTCTTCAATTCCATGAACACCCCCCCACCTTTTTCTTTCCAGTTTTCTGAGAGTGTGAAGAAAGATGGAGAGGAAGAATGAATGTATGCATGTACACAGATTTTTTTAATACTTCTGTGCAATTGAACAACTGTGATAACAGAAATTTGTAGAGGAGGCTATTATGATCTTATGCTTACACGTATATATAGTTTTCTGCATTTCTTAGGTAAATGGCATCCAGTCTCATCTACAGAGGATTAGAATTACTGAAATTACAACTATAATAGCCCATAGAGTTATGTAACGTTTTTTTCACTTCTCTTTTCATGTGAAAAGTGGTTTAAATATTATTCATTTGAAAATCTTCATTACATTACAAATAAAGAGTTGTACAGGCAAGTCATGTCAGACCATTCCTTTCTTTTTATTTATTTATTTATTTATTTTTATTATTTTTTTTTTAAAGATTTTATTTATTTATTTGAGACAGAGAGAATGAGAGACAGAGAGGATGAGAGGGAGGAGGGTCAGAGGGAGAAGCAGACTCCCTGCCAAGCAGGGAGCCTGATGCGGGACTCGATCCCGGGACTCCAGGATCATGACCTGAGCCGAAGGCAGTCGCTTAACCAACTGAGCCACCCAGGAGCCCCCTTTCTTTTTTTTTTAAAGCTTATTTATTTCTCTTAGTAATCTCTACACGCAACGTGGGGCTCGAACTTCCAACCCTGAAATCAAGAGCCACACGTTCCTCTGACTGAGGCAGCCAGGCGACCCCCCTCTTTTTTTTTTTTTAAAGTTTACTTATTCATTTTAGTAACATGCCAGACCATTCTTAAGAAAATACTCCATTACTTGTGGCAATTTTCAAAATGCCTAAGAAAGGTACCTGTTATTGAAATAAATCTTTTGTTTTTATAACATTTCTTGGGGCGCCTGGGTGGCTTAGATGGTTGGCGTCTGCTTTCAGCTCAGGTCATGATCCCGGGGTCCTGGGATCAAGCCCCGCGTCGGGCTCCCTGCTCCATGGGGAGCCTACTTCTCTCTCTGCCTCTGCCTCTCTCTCTCTCTCCCTGTCTCTCATGAATAAATAAATAAAATCTTTAAAAAAAAACCCCAAACATTTCTTAAGGTAAGATAATTGAATGCTTAAATTAATATTAAACAGACAAACAACTTCTAGGGTTTATACTCTTTTTCTTCTGGATTTTAACCATAGTTCTGAAATACATTTTATGAAAATTCAAAAGTTTCTAATTTAGCTATTAGAATAAAGCTCTTTTTTAAAAAAAGACCCCATTACGCTCTATGTTCCAGTCCCTCCATATGATACACTTTTTCTTTCTTTTCTTTCTTTCAGTGTTTTGGAATTCACATTCAAATGGAGTAAGAATGGAAAGAGTTTATTCCTTCTAGCAAACTTCTTCATGCTTTATTCATTCATTTATCTTGTATCAAGGTATCCTGGCATACTTTTCACTTTATTTTCAAATGCCTTAACTTTCTGTGTTTATTTCCCCATCTTAAAATGGCAATAGTAATAGTTCCTACCTCATTGGGTTACCATGAAAATTAAGTGAATACATATGATAAAGTGCTTAGCAAAGTCCCTGGCACGTAATAAGTGCTCAGCAAATGTTAGCTGTTCCCATACTCGCTGTTTTTATACTACCTTCACCTTCTGATCTCTCTGGGCGTATGGTCTGGCTGCTGTTTGATTCTGACATTCTCAATGAGTACGTTGAAATCAGCTTGAAATTGTTCAAGCCTAGTACCCCCCGAAGACAGGGTGAGGTGCTGAGATTCTTCTACTAATGTATTTATGATGCTTATTTGATCTCTTAGAGAGGAATTCCTTCTCCTCTGGAAATATGTTTTAAAACTTCTCCCAAGAAGAAAGAATTGCACAATACAGAATACTCAAAAATAATGTATTTTTTTCAAAGATTTTATTTTTAAGTCATCTCTACACCCAACGTGGGCGTCAAGCTCTCAATCCCCAGATCAAGAGTTGCATGCTCCACCAACTGAGCTGGCCAGGTGCCCCCCAAATAATGTATTTTTAATGAGCCCACTACAAACTGCACATACCATGCTCCAAACATTATTTGGGGGGACCTTCTCAGGACAAATTCTTAAGGAATCCCTGTCCCCATCCCACCCCAACAGATACCACAATGGCATAATCTAGTCCCTTGTTACTCAAAGTGTGGTCCATGGACTATCAACATTAGCATTAGCATTTCCTGGGAGTTTGTTAGAAATGCAGAGTTTCAGGCCTTTCCCCAAACCCACTGAAACGTAATCTGCACTTCAATAGGCTCCCCAGGCAATTCATATATACAGTAAAGTTTGAGAAACACTGATCTTGTTGAGGTTCTGCTTTTTTTCTCCTCCAGCGAGCCAGGATAACATCATATATTTTATAAACAGATCAGGATTCCTCAACCTCTGCACCATTGATTTTTTTTTTTTTTTTGGAAGTATAGTTGACACACAATGTTACATTAGTTTCAGGTGTTTCACAACATAGTGATTCCACAAGTCTATACATTATGCTCTGCTCACCACAAGTGTAGCTACCATCTGTCCATATCACACTGCACTATTGATATTTTGGGCTGAATAATTCTTTGTTTTGGGGGGACCTGTTCTCTGCATACAGGATATTTAGCAGCATCCCTGGCAGCAACCCACTAGATGCCAGCAGCATCCAATCCCTGACCACTTGTAAGTACCAACAATGTCTTTGTATTAGTCATTATTATACTGGTGTTTATTGTTACCTTCACCCTCTGATCTATCTAGGCTTATAAGGTGCTGTGTTTGATTCTGACATTGGCTAACAATGTTGTTTTGTGAGGCAATGTGTGATTGCTAATTGTCTCCCTGGGAGCAAAATTGCCCCCTGTAGAGAATCACTGAAATAGATCCACTTATTTTGCTACGTTCTTCATTTCTTCTAAAGTCCGAGCAGATCATAGAACATTTTCTATCGTTGTTAGAACCTATTTTCAGTTTATTATATGAGAAGAAGGCTTTGAAACAATTTTGATAATACCTTATCAAAATTCCTTTATGTGTCCAAGTACACATGAGGTCTTACTATTCTTGTCTCCTTTTCAAGTTTTCTGCTAATGGCTATAGTATCTGAACTTCTTGTGATGAGACAAATGAGTCAGAATTAAAGGAAGTAAAATGGCCTTCCTTGGAGTGGCATCTAGCAGCTTCTCTCTTTTTGTTTAGAGTTACAGAGTTAGAGAATTTCACATCTGGTAACATCTTCTCATCAACATTAATTTCCAGGGCTTCATTTGATTACAAATGCCAAAAAAAGATTAATTTGTGAATTCAACAAATATTTATTAAGTACAACTAAGAAGTTGGCACAAAACCCCTGCCTTTAAGGAATTTATGGGCGATGGAAAATTGAGATCCTAATGCCGCCCCACTCCCCCCAAACTGTTCCTCCTGTAGCCAGTCTCAGAAAAACGGTACTCCATCCTTCCAGTCCCTCAGGCCAGAATCCATGGAGTCATCCCTGAATCCTCTCTTTCTCACACATCCCAAACCATTTCTATAGGAAGTCCTTTGACTCTACTTTCAAAATATACTTGGAATTGGAGTACTTCCATGAACACCATTCTGGTCCAAACCACAATCAACCTGTGGATGAATGCAGGGTCTCCTAAGTGGTCTCCCTAGTTCTACCCTTGCTCCCAGGCTATTCTCATCACAGCATATAGATTGATCCTGTTAAGATTTGAAGTCAGGTCAAGTCATCATGTCTCAGTTCAATCACTTGGGTGGTTCCCAGTCTCACTGAGAAAACAAGGCAAGGCATTTACAGTGGCCTACAGTAAGGCCCTACATCATCTGCCCCCTTTACCTGGCCCATTTATTGCTATGACTTCATCTCCCCTTACTCAGTCAGCTCTGATCACAACTCTGGCCTCCTTGATGGTAAAGATTTAACAACAAGCTCTGAGGAGAAAAAGTCCTGAATTTTAGCTGACTTCTATAGTACTCCTCCCATGACCAATGTCAGGCTACGAATATGATGTCACAAAAGGTGGAGAGGGGCACTGTAGCACATCGTTATGTAGTATTTCCATCATGCAAACACCATTGATGTAAGCAATCTCAAGAGCATAGAGAATAGTAAAGTGCAATAACATGGTTAGGAAGTGGTGACTTTTGAGTATTTATTACCTTGGTTTTTAATATAATTTATTTATTCAATAATAAATTTATATATAATTTAATTGTTTATAACGGCTATGTTTGACAACCAGCTTGCAAAATTCCTGAAAACTTAACAATTGGTTCCCAGGGCTGACTCTAGCTCACCACTATAAATAACACACCAAACATGCTGTTGCCTCAGGGCCTTTATTTCTCCATCTGCATGGAAAGCTCTTCTCCTAAATACTTGCAAGGCCTTCCTCTTTCATCTCCTTCATGTCTTTTTTTGAATGTTACCTTTTAGGTGACACCTTTCCCTAGCCACCCTGTCTAAAACTGCTCCACCCCCAACTTTTTATTTCGATACCTTGATTCATTTTTAACCTTAGCGCTTATCACCATACAACACACCATTTCTCTGACTTGTTATTTACTTCTAATGTCCTCCATTAGACTTAAAACTCAATGAATGCAGGGATTTTTGTAGGATTTGTTTCCTTCCAAATCTGCAGCATTTAGAACAGTGACGGGTAAATACTTAGTATTTGTTGAATGAATGGGTTAGTGTCACCTCTTCATTTCCTTTTTTTAACTTACTTTTCTGATTCTTGTTGCCTAATAGATAACAACACGTTTATGTGTGAAAGAAATAGCATATGTTTCTGTCTAGGCTACAGGGACTAATTCCACCTTCCCTAATGTTTTGTTTTACTTCTTACATATTTTTATTTTTGACTTAGAAATATAACTCTGTAGTTTCCCCTGTCCTGCTTGAGAATGATCCTAGTTAAATGATCTTTCATTTCTCATTTCTCCATGAGTAAGAGAGTCTGGGACCTACTGTTGAATGTCACCTCATAGAACTGTATAAACTTCTGACTGTCTAACTCTGAGACTTGGCAGCCTTGTCAGATGCTTTTTTTGCTATGTTCTCAAAAAGGCAGCAACTTACTTGCAGACAGTTGCTGATTCTGCTCCTGACTGATTTGAGGTTTCATAGACTGCATATAGATTATTTGCTGAGGTCTTAGACACATAAGGGAATTTAGCTCCCCAAACAGGATATTCATAATTTTCCATAACCATTTTTGACATTGTAAATTGAGGTTGATAGGAATAGGACTATGCCTTTCCAGGTTAATTTTTCTTGAAAAGGGTATCTCTTCTATCTCACCTCCATGTCTGAGCATCATACACAATTATATTGTTGTCCAAACTATATCGGTAATGTTTTTAATCTATGGTTGTGATGTGATGTATTGTTTTATGAAGTATTTTTAAGAGCAAATAGAAAAACATTTACCTTATAAGATACCCACAAAGAAATATTTCTCCCAGTGTTTCCTTTTAGGCCTTACAAAGTTACAATCATGCCGTAAGAGATTCATTGGAAGAAAAAGCCCATGGAATTGTGAATTTGTGCTCAATACATGAAAACTCCCAGTGAGTCACACTCATGTTCAGTCTAATGCCCATTTTTACAACTGGTAGGAAGAAGTACATGTTGGAAGGTCACTGCTGTATCTCTGAGTGCAAAGTGGTATTAAGTTTCTCAAAAAAAGTGAAATGACCAATTCCATTATTAATAGATTCACTGCATATGCTTACTTTAACTTTTTTTTTGCTATATTATATGGACATTTAATCTTATTATTTATGCATTCCTTGAAGAGCTCACAGAGGAGATTGTCTTCAGAGCCAAAAGATTAAATTAAAATGCGTATTTGACTCTGGTGTGATTGTAGTAGCAAATATTTATGGCTTTGATAGGGAATAAACAGGTAGTATTCACCTATTGTGATGGGTATGTAAACTGATACAACCTTTTTAGGGGTTACCTTGGTAGTACATATTATAATAACAAATATAATGTCTTTCACACCGTTGTTCCACTGTTAGGATGTTAACCTAGAGATAAATTCACATTTGTGCCCAAAGATTAATGTACAGGGATATTCACTGCAGCATTCTTTGTTTTTTTTTTTTAAAGATTTTATTTATTTATTTATTTGAGAGAGCGAGAATGAGAGAGAGAGAGAGTACATGAGAGGGGGAAGGGTCAGAGGGAGAAGCAGGGAGCCTGATGTGGTACTCGATCCCGGGACTCCAGGATCATTACCTGAGCTGAAGGCAGACACTTAACCGACTGAGCCTCCCAAGCGCCCCTCTTTTTTTTTTTTCTTTTAAGATTTTATTTATTTATTTATTTGACAGAGAGAGACACAGCGAGAGAGGGAACACAAGCAGGGGGAGTGGGAGAGGGAGAAGCAGGCTTCCCACCGAGCAGGGAGCCGATGTGGGGCTCGATCTCAGGACCCTGGAATCACGACCCGAGCCGAAGGCAGACGCCCAATGACTGAGCCACCCAGGGGCCCCAGTGCAGCATTATTTCTAAGAAGGAAAACCAGAAATAGCCTATTGTGGAAGAAGATGTGGAAGGCTATGGGACTGTTAACAAGGATGAGGTGGATTTATATATACTAATCTTTTAAGTAAAAAGCAAATCACTGAACAATATGTATGGTATGATGTCATATATATTGAATAAAAACAAAGCAAAAATATTTGTAAATGCATAGAAAATACCTCAAAGCATACATACCATACCCCTAATGATGTTTATTTCTGGGCAGGAAAAATAACGGGGGGATACACAGAGGGGAATTTTACTTTTTACTGTAGGTAATCTTTCTCTATTGTTTGAATTGTTAGCCATGATCATGTATTAATTTCTAAATTAAAAATAATTTTAAAAAATAGTGGTGCCTGGCTGACTCTTTCAGTGGAGCATGTGAGTCTTGATCTTGGGGTTGTGAGTTTGAGCCCCACGTTGGGTGTAGACATTACTTAAAAATAGAATCTTAAAAAAATATTTTTTTAAATAGAAATAAGTAGTAAGTGCTAAAAAGGAATTTGAGTTTGTTTCTCTTATTTCCGATGAATGTTATTGTTTTGTAAGACAATGTGAACTAGTAGAAAGAACACGTAAGTTCTAATGTTGACTCAACTACTGTGGTGTGTACCTATGTGTATATGTATGTGTGTTTGAAGAGGGGGAATCGAGAATGAGATTGCAAAATACTAACTATCTGACAGGGTTACTATGAGAGTCCAGTGAAATATTGTACAAAGAAGTCTCAGCCTGCTAGACAATTGGCAGGCACACAGTGCAGTGTACTTACATTTCTTTATCCATATCCCACTCCAAGGTTTGAAATCTGTTTGATTCCAGTAAATGAAGGTAATGAAAAAAAAATTAGATGCGTCAGACCTGTGTTCTGAATTTGATCTTGAAAATACAGTGATCAAACATCTGCTCCTATCACTTCTTTTTATACTTGTTAATAACAAGCTGATATTGAACACTCCATTTTGGCTAATTCTGGGCAAAAATGATGGGCTAAATATTTACATCTGATTCACGATAGTCAGACAGAGATGACTTCCTAGGGGGTTATGATTTAAAGATCAGATGAAAAGAGACAAAGGGACAGCAAACTGAGACTATTTGAACTTTACAGTCCACACAGTGCTTTATGGGTCACACTGCTCCTTCATAGCCATTTGATCCTTCATGGATGAGACAGGCATTAATGATGTCAGCCTCATTAAATGGGTGAGATGGGTGAGAAGGAAACTGAGGCCCAAAGAGGTGAAGTGACTTGCCCAAGGGCACACTCTGAACAAAGCCAGGTCTTACTCCCAGTTTTTACTCCTAGTATTCTGCCATTTAAAAAAAAAAAAAAAATCGGTGGCCTGGTCCAAGAGCTGAAAATGTGGAGGGAAAAGGTTTTTTTTTTTTTAAAGATTTTACTTATTTGACATTGAGAGAGACAGAGAGAGAGGGAACACAAGCAGAGGGAGTGGGGGAGGGAGAAGCAGACTCCTTGCAGAATCGCGGGCTGATCCCAGGACCCTGGGATCATGACCTGAGCCAAAGACAGACGCTTAACGACTGAGCCACCCAGGTGCCCCGGAAAAAGTTTTTTTAAAAACAAGAAATCTCCAGTTTTCCTGGTAATAGACTATAAGTATTCCAAATGACCAGTGTATACCAGGTATTTTATATATTATGGTTTGATATTATTCAGTTAGGCAATGAATAAAAATCTTAGGCCTGAAAGTCATCCAATAAATACTATTTTGGTAAATCCAAGAGTTGAGTTATAGAGTTTTTCTTTATTGGAGGGTGAGGGAGTTATTTTTTTTATCTTTTAGAGAGAGAAAGCGATAGAGAGAAAACAAGCAAGCAGCGGGAGGGGCTGCTGGGAGTCGGATCTCACAACTCTAATATCATGACCTGAGCCAAAAGCTTAACCAGCTGAGCCACCCAAGCGCTCTGTGAGGGAGTTACTCTTAAGTAGTTTTGGTGTTAGCCATTGTTCCTTCTGAGAAAAGATCTGCTGTTGAAATTGCAATTTAATAAATCATTGATTAACCTCTTGGTGGCACAACGGGCCTAGAAAATTTTGGTGGGCTACTTGCTGTTTAAGCAGAGAAAAATCAGTAAACCTGATTTGGAAGGCTCTTGGAGCAAAACAAGCGAGGCAACCACGTGGAAGTCCACGTGCATGTGACTTTCATAGAAAATGCTATTTGGGATGATGAAGAATGTGAAGGGCAGCTACGCTGAGAAGTCAAAGGTAGGGGCAGATCAAGGGCATCTGGTGGGAGGCTGTTGGCATGCACCCTAATCCAGCAAAAATACCCAAGATACACTAATTACAGGGATTATAGTGTCTTCGTTTCTAGGAAGGGTTGGTTGTTGGAGCAGCCAAATCCCAGCCCGGGGAGACACCGAGTTAAAATCTGAAGCAGCCTTTCTCAGGATCCAGTCAGGTACCTTTTCCACGACTCCGAGATCACAAGGCTCCAAGAGTGCATGCCCCCACACCTCACCCTACCCTCTTTCACCGTTATTCTCACCCTCAACTTCCAGTCCCCAAAGCCCGGCCTTTAAAATGGATGGTCCGAGGCCTACAACTGGCCTCCGGTGCGTTCTTTTCGCTCCTTTTTTCCACCCCTCCCGGATTAAAAAAAACAACTGGGTGTGCCCTCCCTCCTCAAAGCGGGGCTCCCTTCCGAGGGGGCGGGTCCTGATCACCGCGGGCTCAAACCCCGCAGGTTGGCGGGAGCAGGCGGGGGCGGGCCGGCGCGGATTCGGAAAGAACCCAGCGAACGCTGCCGCGCGCCGCGCTCAAACTCGCGCCGCCAGCAGCTCACGAGCTGCGCCCCACCCTCTCCGTCACCAAAGGCGCCCAGCCAATGAGCGGGCCGGAAAGGCCGGGCCTGCGGGCTAAGCATTGGGAGGGGGAGCAGCGGGAGGGGGACGGGAAGTCGAGGGCGGGCTGAACTTGATTGACAGGTCGCTCGCACCAATCCTCCGCGCGGCTTGTCTTCGCTCTCTTCTCAGCTGGGCTCAGCTCTTCGTCCCACCTCCTCCTCCTCCACCCCCCTCCTTGCTCCTTTTCGACCCGCCCCACTTCCCCTCCCCCACTCTGCAGGCAAATCGCTGCTGGAAAGAGGCGGGGGCCGAAGCGGCGGGCTCGTGTGGAGACTTGAGGTGGGATTGACGGGCGATCTGGCCAATAAGAGGTAGGCTGATGGCGCGGCTGTGGCTGGAACCGGCCAATGGGCAGGCGGGCTGGGGGCGGAGGCCCAGGTTCCAAACGCTCCGCGGCGCCATGGGCTGAAAACTCAACCGAGATGGAATCTCCCAGTCTGAACCGGTTTCAACCGGTTCCGAGTTTGAGGCACTAGGAGGAGGGGGAGAAGCGGCTGCAGCGGCCGCGGCAGGAGCAGCGGGAGCTACAGCATCAGCAAGAGCAACAGTAGCTACAGCCCCGGCGGCGGTGCCTGTTCCAGTCTTTGCTGCTGCAGTCCGTGCAACCACCCAGAGGGGGAGGGGGGAACCACCAGTCGCTGAGGAGCAGGAGAAGGGGGGAAAGTTTAGGCGAGCCTGGGTGGGGGGGCCCAGCGCCGGAGCCGCGTGAGAGAGGGAGCCGTATTTTGGTAGGGGGGAGTCGGACTGCAACTGGCAGCAGAGCGTCCCCCGACCTTGTGGACTCTATATCCCCTACTCCTGCCGCTTCTGCTGCCGCCTGTGGCTGAAGGGTCCCCCTGGGGCTGAATCTTTGGGACTTGACCCCTTTCCCCTCCCCCTTCCCTCACTCCCCAGCCAGGCGGGAGCATTTATTCCACGGATTAATTCCCCTTCCTTTTTTGGGGGGGGGCGGGTGGGTGTGTGTCGTGGGGGTGTCCCTGAAATAGTAAATATTGTTGAGCTTTTTTTGCCCTTATCTTCGTTTTTTTAATTTCCTTTTTTAAGGTGGGAAAACTGTGAAACCCACCTTGATTTCCTCCCCTCTCCCCCCTCCCCACCTTCCCTCGCCCTAATCCCCCGACAAGGAAAGAAGCAGCAGTTGGTTCAGTCTCTGGGTAAGTCGACTGTGTCTTCGGGGCCGAGGGTCGGGCGGCGGCCGGGCGGGAGGAGGCCGGCGTGGGGCGCGGCGGCGGCCGCGGGAGGCGAGCCCGGGAGGCGGCGGCGGCCCACAGCAGAGCCTGCGATTGAATGGAGCCGCTTCTGCCGCTGGGGGATGGAGGCGGGGAGGCGGCCGCGAGAGGGTAGCGCTTGCTGGGTTATTCGCGTGTGCGGGTGGCGGTGGAGGAAGGCGAGGAGCGTGATAGTGAAGCGAGGCCGGTGTGGGTGTGGAAGGGCTTCCCCAGCCCTCCGGGCTGGGGAGAAGTTGGGGTGATTTCAGGAACATCTCTGTAAATTATTAGGAGTGGAAGTTTCCAGAAATATTTAGTGCAGCAGCATTGAAACGTCCGCCTGCATCACGTGGCCCCTCGGTGGAGAGCTTGGGATCGGGGGAGGGAGGGGCTGCCGAGTCCCTCCTCCTCCTGCAAGGAAACTCGAAATCTTTCTGGTTTTTTGCAGAGTAGGATTAGAAGTAGGAAGGGTTAGTTGATTGTTCAGGGTTCTGTAAATGGGATTCCGTTCTGTAGTTTGTTGGGGGGGAAGGGGTTGAGTGTGTTAAGTGACCGAATCGTTTACTGCTGGCATTGTACAGTGGATGATGCCCTGATTCTCCTTCATTCCGATGTCTCCGAGTTTGGGATGGGTGGGAAGTGGTGTAGTAGAGGAAGCTTTAGAGATCTGCCCAGCCCGGACCTCCTCTGATCACGCAGAGGCCATGCTGCATTGAGAATGGGGCGGTGAACTTCAGGCGCCTGGTCTAAATGCCTCCTCCGAGTATGGGCGGGGTGAGTGCGTGCTCCGGTATGCTATAGTTAGAACTGCTGCGAATCGGTTCGGGTGGGAAGCGAGGGGAGGGCGGGCCTTAGTGAGGTGTGTTTCTACTGAATGAAGCAGGCAATTGCCCACACATCTAAGTAGAGTCTCTCCTTGTAGCGACTTGTTTTTTGACCTACTACTTAGTAATCATAAAGCAACGGTTATGGCTTGGATGGGAGTTGGCAGTGTGCAGCTGCCTGCTTATTCAGTTAGAAGTGGCAGTGAAGGTATTTTGGTAGTCACTTGTAGAGTCACATTGCTGGATAATCCCTTGTATATGCTATCCAGTGAGTGGATTTTAGGATTGAGTGTCCCAAGGAGAAAAGAAAGCGATTGTGGTTTCACGCTCTCCCGCGATGGCTGTTTGCTATCTGCCTGATTGTGTATCTTAAGCGTGTGGGACACTGCTGTTAGTGGAAAGAATGTTTTGGAAGCTGTTTGATTTGGGGGACTAAATGTGCTTGGCTTTGACCAGAAAGCCGCCATTTCTGTACAGTTCAAGAATAGGTAGGTCATTTCGAAGATAGCCGCTAGTTCTAAGGATGGCAAACTATTGTATTTAACACGAGCTTTTATTCTAAACCTGATTTTTTCACAAGAGTTTAGCTCGAAGAACTCTGTAAGGACAATGTACTTGAAAATGAAACTTTTTATAGTCAAATTGTTCTT